GTGGAATAGGTGGTTAATCAATTGTATATACATAAGTATGTATATATATATATATATATATATATATATATATATATATATATATATATATATATATATATATATATACGTTTGTATGTATGTATGTATATGCATGTGTACATACATGTACACGTAACGCACAAAGGTTTAAGGAAATGAAGAATTCTAAAGAAATCTCTGAATCTGCCTCGACGTCTTCATACAACTGGAAGTCACAGGAGACAGCGGCGCCTGACTTAGTCTCCCTCGCCATCGTCCCGGGAGAGTCTGGTTCACGAAATTCTCTGGCTTATATCAATGGAGTCACGGTGCGTTAAGAGATCATAATGTGTGCATATATATGTGTATGTGTGTGTGTGTGTGTATATATATATATATGTATATATATATATATATATATATATATATATATATATATATATATATATATATATATATATATATATGCAAGTTTTTAAAGTCTTTCTTTTTTCTTTTCTTGTCTTTTCTTTTCCTTCCTTTTTTCTCTATGTTGTCGTGGTCGTTTTTCATGTTCATCGTAATTCACTTTTCCCGTTATTGTTCTCCACTGTCACCACCATCACGAGCCTGTGCGGGTGCCATGTGTTGTCACTGGCACTTCTGCATGGTAGTTTTCGTCAATATTCTAATCTGAATCTGAATATTTTCTTCACTTTTCTTTTCAATTTTCTGTCGGTCCTTATCTTCCCCCTTAACCTCGTTTATTGGTACCTACTATTCTTCTTATATCTTCTTATCAACTAACCACATGTTTTGAAAATGACAAGATAAAAAGATGATCTATCTCTTCGTCCATCTCACCTATCAACCAACACGTAATCTGTTTATGTTTGGACAGGTCAGATAACGTTTATCCGCGTCCGTGTCAGACTGTGTGACCTCCCCTCGTGCTCTCTGACCTCACTCGAGACAGAGCGGTAGAAATATCTCTAAAGAAGAGGTACTCGTGAGTGTTCAATAAACATTTTCTGTCAGTAATGTTGGTCAAGTGTCAGCCCTTGTTCCCCCCAAAAAAAGAATTGATGTATGTGGATAGAAATGATAACAAAATGAGAATAAATATCCAACTACATGGCACCTCTTCGGACAAAAAAAAAGTTTGTTTTTTTACGGATTTTTATGAAAACGAGGTGAAGTGCAGACTTTTATGTTCCGATAATATCCTTCTCAACGATGGCAATTTATATATTCATCAACCATTAAAAAGAAAAAATCATAAAAGAAAAACAAAGGAGGATAAAAGAGAAAAAAATAACCCACAATTTGTGAGCAGAAGAAGTACCTCTTGTGTGTTTAAGTGTCGGGAAACTTGAACCGTCTTCAGGATGTCTCAGGAGCCTTCTTGGCATCCTACGTCTTCGTGGATGACGTCACAGAGATCTCAGCTCCTCGAGGACGCCCATTTAAGTGGAGAGGAGTTAATTACAAAGCGTGGAGCTGATGAAAAAGAAAATTCTTAAAAGGAAATAATGACACTTGATATTGTGCAGTAAAATTACGATGTCACTGTTCATCTTTTTTTATATATATCACTAAATACAGTCACCATGTTCATTTTTATTATGAGATAGTGATGATCATTTCCATCTAAGATAAACAAACCCCAGAAAAAGGTTGGGTGTTTTTTTACGTAAATTACGAAAAAAATATATACATATTGATCATCAGAACGTGACATCTTATTTCTGATCTCCTGCATAAGACATCTCTGTGTAAAGTCCAATTTTGACGACATAACAATTTAACTGTAGATAGCATTCGTTAGATATAGAATAGATGTTTTATGATAGATCTGTGAATAGACCCCCCCCCAATCCCTCCCCTCCCCCCATTCCCCCGCCCCTCCCCTATCCCTCTCCGTCAACCAAAAAAAAAAGTTAAAAATAAAAAAAATATATAAAATGCAGTTGACACTCTCCCAAATATTAGGTTGGCCGAGATTTAACACAGAAACTGCAAGTCTAGAAGCACTGTCCTTTTCACCGAGACCCGCAACATGAAGTAAAAAAAAAAGTGTCCATGAATGTTTGTTATGTGTACAAACTGGAGATTACATTTGGGAACACTGATTACGTATGCTTCATCGTGTTCTTAATGATTACAATTCTTTTTTTTTCTCTCTCTTGAGAAGAAAATATCCAAAACTTGGGTGTTATTAGACGAAGTTTTTTTTTTCTTTTCTTTTCTTTTCTTTGCTTTTTTAATCAAGAGAAGACAATAGTCCTTATGTATTCTTCCAAAAAGATCTATATTCAAATACCTCCCATTTTCCGTGTCCCAAATGATACAATATTAATGTACAGCAGTTGATTATGAATTAAAAAAAAAACATGAATCATTATGAAATAACACGAAAAAAATATGTTTTTTTCCCACGTCTGTAAAACCATAGAGGGTTTTTTTCTTCTTCTTTCTTATCTTGTAAAATAAAAAAACAGAAACGATGAGTAAATTTCCCTGTGATGATTGTTTATGATATGATAACTTTAGTTGTAAACTCAATGTGTATGTACAATATGTAGTTAAATATGTTATTAATTACGATCCATAATTATATATGGTCGCATTAATATAATTTGTGTGTACAATACACATTTGTAGGTTATGATAAGTAAATGTGAATATATTATGCTTACAGACTGTTCTCCATATCTTACTGTATATACTGTAAATACTTGTATTTGTCCGATTATATATTTTTGTAAAATAAAGGAACTACTTCGGCCAATTAGTTATTTCTTGTCCATTTTTACGACCCAAAGAGAAGGGAAGAAAGAGGGAGAGAAAGAGAAAGGGAAGGAGAGACACAATAAAAGAGAAAACTGAAGGAAAGACATGAGAGTAGAGAGAGATAGAGAGATTGAGAGAGAGAGAAAGAAAGAGAGAGAGAGAGAGAGAGATAGAGAGAGAGAGAAACAGAGAGAGAGAGAAAGGGGAAAGACAGGGAGGGAGAAAATCAAAGGAGATAAAGAGAGAAGAAAGGAATAAAAAAAAAGAAAAACAAGAAAAAACACAAACACCGCCAGATCAAAATAGACCAGAAGAATAAAAATCATAAAAGAAAAAAAACAAAACAAAATACCAAATAGATAAAAAAACAAGAAACAAAGAAAGACAGAAAAGACAACGTCCCCCCCCAAAAAAATCACCAAAACAAAACACAGACGAGATATAAAAAACAAACAAACTTGTAGGAGTAAAACACAACAGAGCAAGATATCTGAAGAGCACTAAAGGACAACATTGCATAGTCCCAAAAGTCAAGCTGGGTCATGAGGTCAAGAGGAAAATACTGACTTGATGTTCTCTCTTTCTCTGTCTTTTTATTTCTCTCTCTCTCTATCTATCTATCTGTCTGTCTATATATCTATCTATTTCTTTCTATATTTTTTCTTAATCTATTTCTATCTATCTATATATATATATATTCTCTCTCTCTCTCTCTCTCTCTCTCTCTCTCTCTCTCTCTCTCTCTCTCTCTCTCTCTCTCTCTCTCTCTCTCTCTCTCTCTCTTTATCTCTATCTATCTATCTATCTATCCATCTATCCATCTATCTATCTTTATCTCTCTCTTTCTCTTCCTATCTGTCTAATTATTTCTCTCTATTTATCTGTCTATGTATTTATCTCTCTCTCTCTCTCTGTTCCTTCCTCGCTCTATCTATCAATCTGTTTATAGACAGACAAGACAGACGGACAAAGAGAGATAGAGAGAGCAAAATAAATGAAGAACTAGCAAGGGGAAAAAAAACGAGAGTTTATACGAACGCAGAAATATCCCCCTCCTCCTCCCTCCTTAGTGCACTCTCCCCCCTACCCCCCCACCTCCTACCCCCCACCCTCCACTTCCCATCTACCCCCACCTCCCTTCCTGCCATACCCCACCCCCACTCACCCCTCCTCTCTCCCATCCCTCCACCTCTCTACCCACCCCCTCCTACCACCTCCTCCCTTATCCAACCCCCTCCCCCTCCCCACTTCCCACCCACCCCCACCCCCTCCTACCACCTCCTTTCCCACCCTCACCACCATCCCTTCACCCCACCCTTCCACCCTCTCCCCTCCCCACCCCCACCCTTACTCTCCCCCTCTCCCCCTCACCCCCACCCCCATCCCTTCATCCCCCCCACCCCCACCCCTCCTACCATCCCCTCTCCCCCTCCCCCCTTCCCTTTCCCCCCCTTCCCTCTCCCACCTTCCCCACCCACCCCCTCCCACCCCCCCCCACATACACACACGCAGGCCGACCTAATTTACGGAACTGTCGAGCTGAATGGGATTAAAGGTTAGGGGAGGAATCCTTACCTGGACTGGGCCGACCTTGAGGTTGAGGGACAGAATGAGGAATTGGGAAATATCGGGAGAAGAGGAGGGGATAGGAGAGGATGGGGAGTGGATGGGAGAGAATGGGAGAGGGTGGGAGAGGATGGGAGAGGATGGGAGAGGATGGGAGAGAATGGGAGAGGATGGGAGAGGATGTGAGGGAATGGGGGAGGATGGGAGGGAATAGGAGAGGATAGGAGAGGATGGGGGAGGATGGGAGGGAATGGGGGAGGATGGGAGGGGATAGGAGAGGATGGGGAGTGGATGGGAGAGAATGGGAGAGGATAAGAAAGGATGGGAGTGAATGGGAGAGGGTGGGAGAGAAGAGGAGAGGATAGGAGGGAATAGGAGAAATTGGAAATTCTCGGGAGAAGAGGAGGGGATAGGAGAGAAGAGGAGGGGATAGGAAAGGATGAGAGTGAATGGGAGAGAATGGGAGAGGGTGGGAGGGGATAGGAGAGAAGAGGAGAGACTGGGAGAGAAGAGGAGGGGATAGGAGAGGATGGGAGGGAATAGGAGAGGATGGGAGAGAAGAGGAGGGGATAGGAGAGGATGGGAGTGAATGGGGGAGGATGGGAGAGAATAGGAGAGAATAGGAGAGGATGGGAGAGAAGAGGAGGGGATAGGAAAGGATG